GGTGGAGGGGGGGTTGATCTGGTTTAGAATTTAATTTGTGATGATACAGATCAATGTTAAATGACAAAACTGGTATCATCTGAAGCAGCAGGTTTTCTTGTTAAGTTTGACATTTAACCTATTCTGACATCTAACATCTCCGCTAGGTTTTCATCTATAAATTAGTGCCTATTATGTTAAATGGAAATAGTGTCTTAGCTGAAAAAAACAAAAGTGTTTACACATACTACATTTACAGTAGTTGTTACAGTGACAAATACACATATGCACTTATATTTTTAGAGTTGCTAGTCAGTTTTAAAAAATAACATACGCTAACAACCTATGTTATTTCCTATTTACATTTAGCCTAACAAATTACCACTTTTTTCTCGTTTATCCATGTGCGTGTTGAGAAAATTGACTTAATTTAAAGGACTTTATGAACTAAATGTGTAATATGCCATCAGGGGCTACACATTTTTTGAGAAATAGTTTCTATCTGGACAGTTTGAAATGACCAAGGAGTATTTACCTGATTAAAACGCACGTTCAAAGACTCGCGTGAGTTGCTTCCACATTAGCACCGCCCCACACCACTGCGTGAAAATGATTGACAGCCACCGCCTCCAATGAGACATCAAGCGTAGCTGCGTAGCATAAGATGCGTAGCTGTGAAGCACGGGACAAATGCTGCGTCCCAATTTGCCTACTTTTGGGGAAGAAGGAATAGTACACACCTCTGAGTATGTAGTAGAAGAGTAGGCAAACTTTGTGACATAATATCGCGCAGGGGCGATTCTAGGATTTTCATTTTAGAGGGGCTCAGCCCCCAATGAGGGTATTATATATATATAATAATGTTTGACTAATAGGGGTGGTATGCTAAATTTATATATACCAAAAAGTGCAGTATTCCATTGCATCGATAGGTATAACATATAACTGAATAAGTTCTTCATGGTCTCTCTCTCTCACACACACACACACACACCTGTTTACTGTACACACACAAAATTTTACTATATAGTCTATTATACTATAGCCCCCCTAAAAATGGCCTAGCGACGCCCATGATATCCGTCTTAAAATCGGGTGTTTTGGACCACTCTTTTGCGTTATATTGCATAGTTACGCGCATCCTGTCACTGTAAACTGGCCTGTCAATCAACCTGTTACAGTTAACATCCTCCACATTTCATTTCATTTAACTTCCTACCGTATCAGAGAGAAAAGAAGTAGCACGTTGTTCTGCCAGTTGTGGGTCGTTCATACAGGATAACTTTTTTTTTTGTGCATTTTATGCATAATGATGCATTTAAAAGTTCGCATTGTTGTTGCAGATTAAATAGACTATAACAAGGATAACATTAAATAAATATTTTTAACCAGGTTAAATGTTGATTATTAGTAACTTTAACCCGTTTATCTGAACCTCTCTACTTAACCATTGTTCGCATACACCTGCCATATTTGTAGTTTTTTAACACACTTTATTTATTTTATTTAAAATGTGTTAAAACTACAAATATCTCGGATCACCCAGTAATAAAGAAATTTTAAAATACAGGACAAAGCATGATTTTTTCAAAATAAGTCGGGACATTAAAAATAGAGCTGAAATACGGGATTGTCCCAGGAAAAACGGGACATCTGGTCACCCTATTTATTTGTGTTTGTAGTTCTAAACGGAACCCTTCGCCAAAGCGCAATGGGTTGTGGCCAATATTAGCCAATGGGGCTTAAGTCCAAGGCATGAAGTTCACAAAGAAATTTTAGTTGACCGTTGGTATCGAACTTACTTTTCCATCCTGCAGTTACAGACTGAGCTTGAGAAAGAATTCAACTGATATATGAGACTTCATAACAAGCACATCCTTCTCTTTACTTTCTCATTCTTCCATGTTTCTTTATTAATTATTTCAAACTGTCCCACCCACTGAAAGCTGCACGGGTTATAGGCCTACATAAATACTACACATTTCAAAGACATTAAAGGTCTGTGTGGCATGAGTTGAATTTACCACAGAAGTGTAAGTGGTTAGTTGATTGCTGTCGCGAACAGAACTGAACATGCACTTGACTGGTACAAATGTAAAATTATTATTTTTAACTTTTTCCTTTCTGCAGAAAGCTAAATGTGTGTGGTGATGTGTCTAATTTGTTTTTAATCATAATTTCTTGGTAAAGGATGAGAGACCTGGCGAGCCACATGATTTCTGTCAGAGCCAGGTGTGGCTTCCGAGCCATAGGTTCCCGACCGCTGATTTAGGCCCTACTTCTGAGTCTGAGGATGTGGAACAGCCCCGAGTTGAGCGTCACGCAGCTTATGGTAACCCGAGTTAAAATATTCACCTGGGACCATTCAACTCAATTTTGTTGTCTATAGCGGGCATTTGTTGCAGTGAATTTCTATACCACATAGTGTATTCCTAAACCACATGTCCTTTTTCTAAGCCCTATGCTAAAAAAATTAAAATTCTGATAGTGATAGGCTATCACTTACATTCACAAGAGACCGCAGCCATGCTATTATCACAATACATGAGAGGCTGATATTTGAGTAAGACTACAGAGGAAACAAAGGCTTAAAGGCTATTTCATATATAGGTCAGCCATTCTGCTAGCTACTTTGACACTTTGATGCAAACAACAAGATTCAGATTGAAAGATAATGTTTTGTTGGCATTATGTCTTGCTTTACTCTAAGTATGACAATAACCTCATCAGTCAGTACAGAGTTTGCCATAATTTTTTTAGGGTGCGAGTTTCTACACGAAAGACTACTATGAAGATTATAAAGCCAGTTAGGCTATTTCTGGTAGCTGTTAAAGTAAGTTATAGAAAAATTATGAATTCTTATTTGATTTTAAGAAACTTTGAATAATTATAGACCTATATAGCTTCAATATTTGACCAGTTTATCATAAAACTCAGTTACATAACAGAAATTTCCTAAAAGTTGCAATATCATGCAATCAATCTGTATTGACATTTCAAACAGAACAAGAAGACACATACCTGTACAGATTAAATCCTGTTTGCTCCCATTTGTGATCCCTGGAATCACTGAACAACTTCCATTATTCTTATACTGATGTATTAAAGTTGACTTTTTTCAGTATTGATGACTCACAAACATGATTTGCTGCAAATCCATCAGAATTGTGTCATCAAAATTCGCACCTTCCGATGAACCTCCAGTAAATTTACACGTTCTGTTTTCTTACATAACTAACACATGAAGCTAGAATGCGATTGCCATAGTATATGGTTTGTGCTTTCATCCAGTTTGGGTGTTTTATAAGAATAGTTTTGAGCAAAAAATAGCATTAACCTCATAAATGTGTAGTTTTCACACTATTGGTGCTTCTGAAAAGCCATGGATTAAGATGCCTGGAACCATTGGCCGGTTGCATTTAGTCATCTAATTTTTTGGACCGGTCATAACTTTTTACAGTCATTTACATAAAAATGTAGATTGCCACAGTTAATAATAGCTAGTTAGTCAAACTAGTTCTTTAGACACAATCTTATCATATTAGCTATGTTTATGCAATTGGCCCCAGCATCACATGAGAGGGAGCGCTGACAATAAACATACATTTCTGATTTTATTGTTGTTTGTAGGCTGCATAATTTTCCTTATAAATACCTTTATATTTGGAGTTTGTGGAGGGATATTTCTTTCATCCCCATCGGGGTGTTATTATACATGAAGGTTTCATGCTTCATTTTACTGTTGCATGGGAAATAAATGCATTGAACAAGAACTGATCACTGCTATACTGTCTAGACTCTAGAGGTCTCAGTGGTGTCGTTGACACAGATGGTGATGGCATGGACAGTGCCTGGTCCTTTTGCATTCACACCCTGTTCATCAATAGCACTGTTGGGAACATACTGCCCGATTTTCCTTTGAGAAACTGGCCTCTAAATGCATGCAGCCTGCCACTTGGACTGTTATTTGGAGTCATCAGTCATTATTAGTCTTTTCAGATTCTCCCTTCTGTTTGAACAATCTGCACATCATTCTTCTGGGTAAAAGCTTCTTCTTGCTTCCACATTCTAAAACTTAACTAACAGAGCCTGCAAAAACATTCATGTATTTCAAATATGATTTTATGGCCTTTCCAAAAGTTATTTGGAAATATAAAAATATCACATTAATTTACATTTCATCACAGGCTTTCAAGGTTAAATCAGAAAATAGGTTTAAAGGCAGAATAGTTTTACAGGGAGTGTTACACTGCTGAAGTAATAAATCAGTGTCTTCCATCTCAAAGCAGAGCTTGCAAATATATTTCTAACTGGCAGAGCTTTGTAACCCCCTTTTTTGTTTCCTGCACAACCAGCTTCTTATTTACACGTTTATTGAGCACCCTCAATGATTAAATAATTTTTAGTGTTTACGTACGGGTAAATAACAAAGTTAAATTAGATGATCTACAAGCTATTTGTGCCATGCCATCCTGCTAGAGCCTCACATTTGATGGATTTACATTAGCTGGTGCTAAAATATGTTGATCTTAAAGTCAAGCATGTATAAAAACCGAGTGACCTTGTATACAGAGATACTCTCTGTCAGCATATGTTTGAGCAGTAGGTACTGTAATGGATGTTGTCTTTGATAAATGGTTTGACAATCAAGCAATATATTAAAATGTAAAATGTTAGACAGACACAAGGAGCTTTAAAAAACAATGTCGATACCTATCCTTGATATTACAGACAAAAAGTTATTTTAAAACAGGTGTAATATGTGCTGACTTTAATGACATTTATGAAACATACTAAAAACATGTAATTAAACAAAGAAGATGTCTATACTATAAAATCAGTATGTCATTATAGGTTACTAGATGAGTGGTCAGATTAATGACTTCATCATGACTGGATTTCAGCAAATCCCAACACACAAAAGCACTTCCTCACATCTGCCCTTCTATTGTGTTTTCACAGTTCCCGGAAACACCATTTCAAAAGCCAGACGAGTGCAGACATAAACCTATTCAACAAAACTAAATTTCTCATTCAGCTACACACCGTGAAAATTTGACAATTCTGAGTGTTAAATTATTTGAGGGAACAGAAAGACTCAGATTTGCTCATGATTGCTAAACCAACTGGACAACATATTCTTTTGTGTAGATGTGTAGAAAAAAAGATGTGTCTGTTGTGTTAAGATACACACGAGCCAGACAATTAAATCTGATCTATAGAAAGCATGTTTATATTTACATTTTTTGAATAACATTTACAGCATCTACTCTAAGACCCCTTTTTATCTTGTATGATATTTATCACATCCATGTGCTAATGTATGGACAACTGTAATATTTATAATCCATTTAAGAGGCTTTTAAGGGTTATAGCAACAGCTAAAAATCTCAGTGATGTTTTTTATGAGATATTTACAACAAATGTGTTGACATATTACAATTGCTCCCAGAACTAAATACCTTATATTGTTGTTTTTGTTTAGGTGTGTATGTAAGCCTGAATACACCTTCTGGGGCTTAATATGATGTTTAAACGTAATAATTTACCTTTTAGATTTATGTTTTATTCTTATGCAGTGTCAGGAACTTCAATATTTACATTTTATTGCAATATTGCAAAATAATGA